TTCTAGTAAAATCGTGTCTAGCATGATGCCTTCTATGCGCAAAGTCGTATGTTAATGAGGAAAAATGTAAGCAATGACGTCAGCAAAGATTCGCCTATTGAGAACACTGTGACTGATGTCAGTTGACATACCAGCAATCTAACCATCCCAAGTGCTTGGAAACTGCAAAGTCACTTTTTAGAGTGCTAAATAGCCGTTCACCAAGTCTGTATGGGCATGTGATATTTTGACTGATCCCCCCTTCTGACATCCTAACCCCTCCTAAGTCCTCTGCCACCCCCCAGGTGATAAATAGTGACCGGTCCCTTATGGTACAGAAACCGGGATAACTGCTCCGGCCTGATGGGCCACTATAACGGGTGCAAGTTTGTACTGTGTTTTAGAACTGGATTGATCAAGATCGCTATTCAAGTTAATTGACAATCGCCGGTCTGGCGTAAATTCCAAAAATAAGCATGTTTTGGTTGATTTGAAATCAAAGATTAACGCCCAAAATCAGCTTCGAAATCCAGGAGAAATGATGTCTTTCGAAATGACAACGTGCACAGTTTTAACAAGCGTCATTTTATTATTTTTTTTTTTGAAGTCTTATGACTTTTGTTACAGTATATATCGAGAAAGCTTTAATTCCTACTCTTTATCCATTCTCGCCCCCAGAGTTGCCAGTTCCTCTACGCCGACGCGGCTTTGGCACGAGCGAAAGGTCTGAAGACATGATGTGATTGGCTAAATTCCTGGACTATTTATCCATGGTTTCATTCCCAAAAATAAAGCACTGATTGTGCTCTAACTGAAACAATGTTATTAGAGCACCGAGGACGCAAATTAAAAGAGAACTTCAATAGCAATTTTCCACATAAGCCAGTTTTTCCCGCCTGTTGATTTCTGATTGGTCTATTCAAATTTCAGGCACTACGGCCGTATTCTTGGAAGAATAGTCCGCACTGTCATTACCACTGTACCCCCCTCCCCCCCAAAAAAAAAAGTGCCAAAAAGTAAATTTTGACAATCTGTATTTGCTGTCTAATCACTGCAGTGAAACGCGAACAAAATAATTTTGAACTTAAAACAAGCAAGAAAACACCACTCATACAAGAGGGGGCGTCTCCCTTATTGATCAGACATAAACAGCCCTAGCAAAGTTTATTACAGCAAACATAAACGGCCCTGTTATAATTATTAATTCAACAAATGTACTAAATAAAAACACGGGAATTTTACTTAAACAAGATTTTCCGAATGAAGTGATCAAAATCAGAGATGCCGTCGAGTGACAACTCCTAACGGACAAACTCCTTAAATGTCAACTTCTTAGCAAAATTACGTAGCCTGCATACCAATGAATCTACTTATCGCCACACAACTATCTTACAATAATAACGTGAAAAATTATATTTCATACACCTTGCAAATTTTTCTTCTTTCTTTAATTAGCTGCAGCGTTCATCCTTTGTGCCAGCATCTGCATCAAGAAAAAAAATTATTAAATCACTTCCGACTACAACACATACGATAATCAACTTCACTGCCAAGTTTTTGGGAACGAAATCTGGCCATGTTTGCTGTGCGTCTGTTCAGTAATTGATCACAGATGACGTCCAAAATGTGGTCAGATGATCTGAGATCTATTACTGAACAGATGCACAGCGACATAGAGTCTACCTTTTTTATATAATAAGGAAACCAAAAATGTTAATGCCGTCATCTATGTCGTCTGTCCTCCTGTAGATCAGAAGTCAGAACCAATCAAAATGCGAGAATAATTTAACTTATTATATAAATAGAATTACCTTATATCTTCACCACGGTGATCCTGTGATTCTCCCTCTCGGCAACGGCCACCTTACCGTCGTTCATCAGAGCCAGGCCGTACGGAAACCAACACTCGTTCAGGGCGGTGCCGTATTTTCCATGCGCTCTCAGCGGCTCGCCAACCGTCGTGTACACTTTGACTTTGTGATTCTCGTAGTCGGAACCGTACACCTCGCCTCTTGTAGCGTCAAACACCATATAGCGCAGGTGAGTGCCATTGGGACCAAACACGGACAGGAAATTTCCATCACTGTCAAACACTTGGATTCTTTTAAGTACTGAATCCGATACGTAGATTTTCCCGGTGACGTCACAAGCCACGTTGCTGATGGTCTGGAACTCGCCATCTCCTCGACCCAGCTTTCCGAACTTGCAGACGGTTTTACCCTCGGTGGAAAACACGTGGACACACATGGCAACGAAGTCTCCGGCGATGATCTTGCTGTCGGGATCGACAGCTAGGCTATTGAAACGAGTAGCCATGTCCGGTGCTTCGACCTCTGAGGTGATCTGCAAAAGCGTGTTACCTTCGTAGTCGAATATCTGAATTCTGCTTTTACCGTCTTCGTCATCATCTGCGACGAGAATGTTGCCATCTTTGGTGAGGCAGAAATCCGTCATACCATTAACTTTTCCTTGCCCTCTTTTCAGCACGCATCTTAAGAATTTCCCTTTGGGGCTGAACAGCTGAATTCTCTGGATGGTCTCCACTCCACCCATTCCAATTGTGTGTTCTTCCAGCACGAGGAACTGGCCGTCTTTGTCGATGGCCACTTTCTCAGGGTAACTCATCTGACCATCAGCCATGCCATAATCACCGAAGCACCAAATCTCCGGGGGCTCATAATCGGCCTTGTCAGTCGGTAGGGCCTCGGAGGGGATCTCAAAATCCGGCCAATCACCGAGCTCTTGTCCCAGACTTAATACGTATTCCTTGGCTGCATCGTTAACGATCTTCACTTGAGCTAAAATAGTGGGGTTGTCTTTTGCCTGAATCGCAGAATCCACACCGCCAACGCCACGCAGTTTTGTCAGCAAAAAGCGAAAGTATTTAGCTACCACTTGGGGTTCGTCGAAGTACAGGAACGAAGCCTCGAGCAGGGCAATCTTGCACCCAACCACTCTGTCTTCTGTCGAGTTGTCGCTGTCTTCTAAAGTAAACTTTCCTGCCTGCTGCTTCAACCAAAACTTGACTTTATTGAAAGTTTCTTCGTCAGGGTTGACATGTTTCAACGCGATGAGTCGATCACGTACGTTTAGAGCTGCCGAACCGAGGAAACTTCGAAACGCTCTTTCTTCGATGATGCGAATCTCGCGCAGAATTTGTTCCTTCAACCATCTGTAGGTAGCGTCATTGTCTTCGACGACTTCTCTGACCTTTTCCCACTGTTCGCTGACGAACAAATGGAAAGCGAGCTTAAACCAACCTTTTAACGATCTCTCAGGCATATTTCGCGATTGAATTAAATAGGATTTTTAGTGCAAAATAAAACCAAAACAAGGAAAAGCCTATTTATAAACAGCTGACGAAAGATCGTATACGTTTCGGTTTTCAGGTTTTTGTCTGACCGTTTTGAATATGTAATATAAAGTCAAACATTAAAAGCTGTTAGAAACAGCTGGTCAAACTGAATTGACAAATGAACAACCAGTTAAACTGAGTTGAATATTTATCACATGGTAAGCCATTCTTTTTTATCATCAGTTTATCGCAAGAGAGAATAATGGATCATTTTTCCTCATCAAAAATGGAGAGTGTGACAATCGTTTTGATTGAGTATTTTATTTACTAATTAACCATGCTATTAGGCATTAAAGAAATATTTAAGCTAACAAAAAACAAATTTATACATGAAAGTTTGATTTAACTTGCAAATAAAGTAAAACAATCGTTACTGTTCGCATTGAATTTTTCAAACTGGAACGAACGTAAATTTTACTTACTTCGAGAGGCTTTGTAGGAAAAATTATACCCTGTGATTACTCCTAAGAGGCACCGATGTTGACTCTGATATTGATTACTGATAGAATGTCAGGGTAAAGTCCGTGGGTGGGGGTACTCCCTTACATGGGCTATATAAGTGTATGCGGCCCCAAAGGGTAGAGTTTTTCAACCATTTTGGTCATAAATAGGGTATCGAGTTTGGCCATTTTGGTCATAAATAGGGTATGATTTTTGCATGCTAGTCGTGAACTGGGTATGGTTTTTAGAAGAAGCTACTTCTTCATCATTATCGATAATACCATCAAAAAAGCCCTTCATAAATTGTGTTTAGGGCAACTGTGCCAGCCGCAACGGTCAAAAATAGAATATAGAATTTTTGGCCGGGTCGTAAATAAGGTAGGGAAAATTGGTCATAAATAGGGTAAGGGTTTTGGGAAGCGGGCCGCACACCCCCATTCAATTGGGGGCTAAAGGTACATTTACCAGTCATGAACGCAATGCCGGAAATAAAACGTTTCTTAACATAACTATAGTTTCATATTTCCTGTTTATTAACGACATAGAATGATAATAGACCAAGGCTCGATTACCAGTCGCTGTTCGGGAAAGGAACTTGGTGGTGCCTCTCCCCCTCTCGGGGAGACACGCAGACCGGACTCAAAAGAGCGGCGACAATCGAGCCTGTAATGAGCCCTAGAAGCACCAAAATATGTAGCACGTGTCAGTTAAAATGCGCGCGCAATTGGAAAATCTAAGTCCTATCAAAAGACAATTGTGGACACTTGAAAGGTACCAAGAGAATCTCCTTCAGTTCTACAAATAAGTTGAAATAGCCTGAATGTCGCTGGGTCCAAGGTCGCAGGCTCACAGGCTATTTCTAATGTAGTTTAGTATTTTTTACAATTGTTTATGCCCTACTAAAAAAAGATGAGCAAGATATAATTAAAAACTGTTACCTTTTTCTCAGAAACTGCAACAGCTGCAGAAAAATGAGTGTCAATCAATGAACACTGGCCAAGTGCATTCTATTGCCCTGACGAGAAAGGATTTCAACAAGAAGACGGAATTTGTAAAACGCGTGACTTTGACAGACTTTTCATGGCCACTGAGTTCTTTGAAACGTTGACGAAATTTCATTACGGCTGTCAAAAACCACAACAGAAATATTTAGTTTTGATTTCTATTTCAAGTCTTAAGAAAATAAAAGCATTTTGAACGGACTACTCCGTAGATCATTTCTACGTAAGACCTCGTGTACTGACTACACATGAAAAATTTGAAAACGGAGTTTTCACTTTCAAAACGCGTCAAATATTTTCCGTCCACACTACGCCGGAGAAATTTGAAAACGCAACAATTACCAGTCATTTTAGATTTGTGTTTGAGAAAAACTAGGTCAGGGAAATTACACGCGAATCGTGAAGTCATCGTTTTCGATCGAGAAGCTCCGTTTTCAAAATGTTTTCCGACCACACAAGAACGCAAGGCCGTCGTTTTCAAATTCCTATGTTTTGAAAAACGTTTTCGAAAAGCTCCGTTTTCTTGACGGTTTAGTTTGGACAGTACGCCTAACTGTGGAAATAAAGCAGCGTTGTCAAATTTCTCTTCAGTTTTTCCTGTATTGACCAAGCGATAGAGAGGTTAATTCAGCCAAAGCGAAGTTTGTGGTTTCCCCGTAAAGATCACATAACTAGTTAAAAATAGTTAAGATGCTACCGCTAACTCTAGTCAAAAGCTCTACACAGAGAGATTTTCATTTGAATGTTAACTGAAATCCAAGCCAAAGTAAACAATCACAAAAGAAACGGGCGATCGAGTGAACCAATCACATCTCGCTTAAACACGTGATCGGTGTGAAGCGCTGGAAAACATGTGCGAGCGAGTTACGATTGGTTGGTTTTACTTCTAGTTGGATGAGAAAATAGCGCGAGTTTTTCAGTAACTAAACAAGCACCGCGGAAATGCAAAACCAAAGTAAATGGGTACAACTTTTGACATTCAAGCGAAAACCGCTCAACTTTTTCTACCGAACAACAGGAAGAGTAGATTTCTTTGCTGTCTTCTTCCCAATAATAACCCGAAATGACAAATGAAAGTGAAGCAGGCTGAAACCAATAAGACCATTCGTTTTGTTAAGAAGAGTGAAGGGATTTCCCCAATGAACCTACATCATCACGATATCTCCTAAAATAAGTTGCGTTTTTGACTCATTATAATAAGATCAAAGAATTTTGCAGGAGTCAGACAACTGAGTCTTTTTCGCTTTCAATGAGAGCACGTTTTTCGTTCAGAACTTAATATTTCGCATGGTTAAATTTTGCGCTGGAAAATTTTAGATCACTGGCGTTCTTAGAACACGATCGGGTTTATTAGAATGGCTGAGAACATGCAAGGTGATATAGAACATACGTTTTCGCCTCTTTCTGAACTGTTCCCCCCTGAAATAATCGAATTTTTAAGATTATAAAACAAAACATGGATAACTCACGCAACAGTAGCCAAAACGGAAAGACTTGTGTTTTTCCCGTTACCCCGTGTACGGTATTTCGAATCTGAAATGAAAATTTGCAGAGGCCATTGTCCTTTGAATTCGTGCCCGTTTTAGTTCGCAATTTCAACGTCACAGAAATTTTGTGAGAATCCCGCATCGCTGCATACTAATAACAGCTTTGCTCATTCTGGGAAGTAGTTTACATAAATAAACAATTATTCTTTAGAGTTTTATTTTAATTTATTACTCCTTTAATCAACAACAGTAGCCTTATGATCACTGTTTTTTTCACGATAAATGCTGTGCAAATTGTTCCTCACACTACTTTACTTAAAACTTCTAAATGCCAAATGTATATTTAACTAATTAAGGGTCGACGTTTTCAGGCGCACTATTCACAAAATGTAATTGCAAACCTAACTGGTGAAAATAAATTCATTTCAACTTCAATTTTTCAGTAGAAATTTAACTTCACTTTTGATTGGCTTTTTTACGTTTCTTCTTAAGACTTCTAATAATCGATAAAAGTTTACATCGTAAAGCTCTTTCACTCGGAAAGCTGGTTAAATAAGAAATGTCCTGTACACTACGTTGTCGACCCCACTTTGCTTAGAATAATATTCTCTTTCCAAGTCATGTTAACAATTGTTACTTAGTGCCAGTCGTTTTAGGTGCCTTATCTACAAATACAACAGGACAATTTGGGTCGCGATAGCAGCGGTACGATAGACTAAAAACACCCTTAACTTTAGCTTTAGGTATTTATATTTCAAACACGGCGGGGTGAAACCCATGTATTCTTTATTATCGAAATTTGATAAGGAGAAGATGCAACTTTTGGCAAAGTTTAGAAAAATTCTGTACATGGGGCTCAGAGCTACCTTAAATTTTCGAATAAATGTAACTACTTAAGCTAAAATACTGATGCGATGGTAACCTCTAGTGTCAAGAATATAGTAAACAACGTGTTTATCGATGATTATGCAGTTTTTTGGCTCAAGATTGTGGCATCAACTGATAAAGAGTGCTTGAACCATAGTCTTGGAAAGTGCTGGAAACTGTTCTGAGCTACATTAAGTTTGAAATGTTCTTTGACTGAAAGCTCACGGGTAATAGCTCTAGTAAAATCATTGCATACTTGTGCGAGTAAAACTAGCTTTTGCTTCGAAAATAGATACTAAATAAAAAGTTGAAACGTTTTGCGAAGTATTTTACCCAGTTTCAATCCTGCCGAATGATTAAATTGTTAAAAGGGCACCAAAACTTTTGAAAAGGGTCAAATTACGTTACTGAGACACACCACTGGCTTGAAAACTGTCTCTTGAGGTCGTTGTGCTTTGTCTTTCTCACTTGTTTCCGCTGGTCAGTTTGTCCAACAGAGACAGCTGAAAGAGAAAACAAAACAAAACAAAAAAACAAACAAAAAAAACAGACAAAGTGTAAAACTATGAAAAAGGCTTGTGTTCGGCGACTTCAGTCAATCTCAATTGAACGTTTTCTTGAAAAACTGTTAGCTGATTGCCTGAAAAGCTCCATTTTGCCTTTGTATAAAACGTAAGTAATCGTGATTTTCGTGTTTAATCGTGGTGCCACGGTTAAATCTGCATAAAAATTGAATAAATGAAAGAAAAAGATTAATTTGCCATAAAACATTACGGTTCGTTAAAAGCACTTGAGAAGTGTGGAAGACATTACCTTGTTGTTTGTGCTTTCTAAATTTCTCAAACGTACTTCGCGATTACATGAAACACCACTACAATAATATATGGGTAGTGGCTTCCTTAATTGTTTGATAAGAATCTTTGCTGGAACCATGCGAAGTTCCACTGTAACGTTTACAGCTGAGTGCGATGAATATCCGAAATTTCGTCGGTGAAGCCTGCTTTTCAGGTTACGTAATTTCATGGCCCCTATTCTCATCGAAAGCAGGTCAGTTATTATAAAATACCATGTCCGCGCAGAAGAACAGAAAAACAATAGTAATCAAAAAATCAGATATGCTGCACCTTACTCTTCTTGAAAACACACTCAGTCCGATCGATAATTCCTCAGCAAAATACTGAACAGTTACCACGAATCCTTTGTTAGAAAACAGAAAGCGCTTTTTCAAGTAAACTTACCTTACTTTCCAAAATCAAAGTTCACGTTATCCCCAATCAGTATAAAAGGCGCCCACTGCTTCACGTCAGAGTAGCCGTTACATCTCATCCACTTCATAGCCTGGTGAAGAGAGTCACTAGCGCTTTCCCCACGAACAAGGTGATCGTAGAACTGACTCATTAACTGCTCTGTTGAGTTGTCTTCTATGGCCCACAGTGACACCAACACTGAGCGTGCGCCAGATCCTAGGAATGCTCGAGCAATTCCTACCGCTCCCTCGGCCTTAATCTCTCCACGTGCACTATGGCAACAGCTAAGGACTACCAGTTTAGCTCGCAGTTGAAGTTTTGAAATGTCCGACATTGTCAATAAGTAGAGCCCTTCTCGAGGAATACCGTTAGGAATGCGAAAAGAAGGTGCCAGGGCAATCTCTCCTCTTTCTGCATCACCGTGAGCAGCCAAATGAATCAGAGCCACCGAATCCATTGCTTGAAGTACCGCCTGCTTAGTAGCCTGCTGTCCTAGTAAAGGCTCAACACCCAGCTTTCTTCATACCATCTTCGCTTCCACTTCTGCGTAAGGCAGTCGCGAAATGGACTTTAGACATCCTTTGAAAATCACCTCACCAACATCAGGATTCCCCACTATCAGTGCACCGGTCTGACTGTGATAGTCTGCTGGACTGTCAAGGATGAGCCTGAGAGTTGTTAAAGAAGGAGCGACCCGGATCTTGAAAGTTTCTGATAAGGTCTTCCCACTTTCATCAGGCAACGCGGCAAATGGAATGTTGTATAAAGAACGATCGGGAACGATGATGATTTCCGAGCCGTCAAGCAAGTCAGCCACAGGAGCGATGATTAGTTTGTAACACAGAGGAAGATTCATTTTTGGACCTTGGTTCTCTTTACTTTCATTTCCAATCCGGAAACCTTCATAGCTGTCATCCTCCCATGAATTGGATTTACCTTGTATGGCATTTAAAGACTCATCTTTGCGTAGCTCCGTTGGCCATGGTGACGTGCCAAAACTTCTAAAGCTTTTGTTGGCAAAAAAGTCTTCAAGATTTTTAACAGGTCGTTCGTAAGCAATAAGGTCCTTTCCCTCAATTTCTCGGAAATACGTGACTCCACCTCTTTTAAGAATCCAGATATACATGCTGTCAAAAGAATAGGAGAGGTATAGACAAGAACAATTACGTTCTCTGTCGATGATGCTTTCAATTCCAGACCATGTTTGAGGATTAGCGGATACTTGATTCTTCACAGAGTACTTAGCTGACATCAAATCTGCCAAAGCCCTGGCCTTCCCAAGCTCTGAAACATACAAAGCTGGCACGAGATTTCTGGTTTTACAAAGCAATGTACAGAGGATCTTGTAGGAAGAAATTTTGTTATCCGAAAACGATATCTTCCATTGATCGTTATCTCGTAGGGAGCCGCGCATTTTCTCGCATTTTTCGACGGCAGTAAGTAAGTACGTGGTAGCTTCCTGATTCTTGCCTTCTTGTATTCTTAAGCATGCTAGTTCTTTGAGCGATTGGTACTGCAGAGAAAGATCTCCAATGTCCTCACTAATGGCAAGTGACTTCGTGTAATGTTCTTCAGCCTTAACATATTCACCATCTTTGAAAAGAACCTTTCCTGAACATATGCAACAACCGGCTTCTAAATATCGTTGTCCAATTTCTTTGCAGATGGCAATTGCTTCTTCGTAATACTCTTTACCCTTGACATAGTTATGAATTGAGTACAAGATATTTCCTTGCGCTAATAAAGAGAAGGCTTTCCCCTCCCTGTGTCCAATTTCTGATGCGATGGAAAGTGCTTCCTGATTATATTTGTTAGCCTTGGGATATTTACCAAGAGAGGAAAATAAAAAGGCGAGATTATTGCAACACATAATTACTCCCTCCTTGTCACCAGTTTTTCTCTTGATCGCCAATGCTTTCTCCAAGTGTTCATTAGCCTTATCTTCTTCGCCAACTGATTGATACAACAATCCAAGGCTCATGTAAGAGGTGGCTACTCCATCTATGTCACCGATTTCTGTCTTGATTGCAAGTGATTTCTCGAGATGTTCTCTTGCCTTGTCATATTTGCCAACTGAATCATACACAGCTCAAAGGCTCCTGTAACATCTGGCTTCTCCATCTCAATCACCAATTTCTTTGTTGATGACAAGTGATTTCTCGAGATGTTCTCTGGCCTTTTCACCTTTGCCAACTAATCGACACAAACTTCCAAGGCTCATGTAACAGTTGGCTTCTCCATTTTTGTCACCGATATCTGTCTTGATTGCAAGTGATTTCTCGAAATGTTCTCTTGCCTTGTCATATTTGCCAACTGATTTATACATAACTCCAAGGTTTAGGTAACAGCCGGCTTCTCCGTTTCTGTCACCGATTTCTTTGTTGATGACAAGTGATTTCTCGAAATGTTCTCTTGCCTTGTCATATTTGCTAACTGATTGATACACAGCTCCAAGGTTCATGTAACACTTGGCTTCCCCATTTCTGTGACCGATTTCTTTGTTGATGACAAGTGATTTCTCGAGATGTTCTCTCGCCTTGTCATATTTGCCAACTGATTGATACTCAACTCCAAGGTTTCCGTAACAGTTGGCTTCTCCATTTCTGTCACCGATTTCTTTATTGATGAAGAGTGATTTCTCGAGATGTTGTCTCGCCTTTTCATATTTGCCAACTGATCTATACACAGCTCCAAGGTTTCCGTAACAGCTGGCTTCTCCATTTCTGTCACCGATTTCTTTGTTGATCGTAAGTGATTTCTCGAGATGTTCTCTTGCCTTGTCATATTTGCCAACTGATTTATTCACAGCTCCAAGGTTTAGGTAACAGTCGGCTTCTCCGTTTCTGTCACCGATTTCTTTGTTGATGACAAGTGATTTCTCGAAGTGTTCTCTTGCCTTGTCATATTTGCCAACTGATTGATACACAGCTCCAAGGTTTCCGTAAGAGGAGGCTTCTCCATTTTTGTCACCAATTTCTGTACCGATTAGGAGCGTTTTCTCCCATAGTTCTCTCGCTTCTGCGTATTTACTTTGACGGAAGTACATTGCTGCTAGATCGAAGCTTAGCTTATATTCTTCAAGTTTTTCTCCAGTTTCACGATAAATCTGGAGAATTTTTTCTGCGTATTTTGTTTCATTTCGATAAGCCCTCGACAGTATCAAATACACCCTTTTGTACAATAATTTGACTAGTTTATCGTCTTTGATGCATGCTTTGTGTTTCAAGATGACCAAGCATTCCTTGCATATTTCGATGCTCTTTAGAACTCGATTGGTGTTGAGAAGGAAGCAAGCAACCACGAGGCCGATAGAGATGGCTTGTAGAACTTCGTCCATGTTGTTCATGTCAAACACTTCTGTCGGGATTAAAGGAGAATTATAGTGAAAAGAAATTTGTCTTCAAGTCAGTTAAAGGGACAGGGTCAGCTGTGGGACCGCACTGATCTGGACACTAGTTTTGTCACTTTGACAAGAGTTCACCTCAGCCTGAAATCAAAGTTACACGTCGAGTACATTTAGAAATCCGCTTCAATCCTCGTAGTGTTTTGCTTGATTTTCAATCGTTTACTGAAAAACCTGTTTTTGAGTGTGTTTCTGCTCATCCTATGATATTATTTTATCGTATTTGGTTAAAAACAATGCAGATTGCGTCTCTGTGAAATGCAAATTAGCTATGAAATGGTATCTAATGCGCATGTGCGCCAGCTGACTGTGTCCCTTTAACACACCGAATCATTAATTAATTAATTGTCTGTATTTTGACGAGCCCGTACGGCACAACTCCTAAAAATATGCAGCGATACTACACACCAAAGTATCTAATAAGATATATTTATTAAAAATTAGCCATTAATTTGCACGGATGTCTTGAGAGCGCGAGCAGAAGAATTCATTGGAAAAACTGGTTGATGGTCCGTCGATTGGAAATTGATTCAAACTCGTTCTATGAAATGCAAATTATTCGTGGTAAGTTAACCAAGAGTTTTCCTTCGATACAAAGGGCGGAAGCATTATCGTACCGGCCTTTGCATCCATAGCACGAGCTTTTGTTTTTGGCAGAAATTCCTAGTTTTAATACATTTTCGACTTAATGCTGATTAAGAATAAGACGACAAATTACCTGAATTTTTTCAATAGTGTAGCTCGACACTCCGGATACCTTCAGAAAGTACTAGAAATCATCAGAAATAGTTAAAATGGAGCTGTACTTTATTTTGAAAATTTTCTGGCGGTGAAACATGATTAGTGACTAGTACTACGGTAAACCTTGTCTTATTATTGAGTTATATTAGTTTGGTGAAAAACAAGCAAAGTTCGCTTTGCTTATTTGGTACTAAATTGTAAATCAAATTGAAATGGTATCAAGGTTTTACTCACCACTTCTCTTTCGTTGGGGAAAGAATACAGAATTTAAGGCAACAGTTTCACTTTACACCAGGACTTTGTCTGTAGGATAACAAAAACAAAAACATTTCAGGTTTACTTATGGACTTGGATTTCTTAAAAAAAAAAAAATGTTTTACCCTCTAGCGTTACGCGACTATAAAGACTGAAATATTACAAAGGATGTCAGAAGTACAAAGCAGAAATCCACGCCAAAAATATAGCAAGGGATAAAGATAAACGCTTCTCAAACTCATTAATAATTCATCAAGTTTAAACAAAAGAAAACATGACCGTGACGGTGTTTGGATACTTGATCTTAATTAGCATAGATTTTTACGATTTTATTTCTCTGTTTTCTTCTTAGTTTTAGTTTCAATTGAGAAGATATATCAAACACGCAAGACAGTGTTTGACCGCATTTCCAAATACCTCGAAGTTTGTCAAAAATACTCAGCTACGCGTCGTATTTGCAGCTCTCTTCTCGGTGTTTGGAAATGGGGTCAAACACGGTCTTTCGTGTTTGATATATTACGTCAAACTTACAATTCGC